TAAATTTAAACTAATAATTCTACGATATTAGGGAAACTTATACTGTAATTATAATTTTATAATTATAAAAAAATAAGTCATCTGTGTACAAAGATTTTCCCCTCACCGAGAGTAGCAACACACAGCCAACATTAAATAGTTAACATAAATATATTTGAAATTGATCAGTTATATTTACCAGATAAATGTTTTTCAATTTATCCGTTATTTAACGCTTTAAATTACATTATGTCGAAAATGATGTTATATCGAAGGAAGTTTTTTCTTATTAACCAGTTATATTACCAGTTTACTGAGAGGGGGTCCCCTACACCTGGACCCCCCACTACACCTGGACCCCCCACTACACCTGGACCCCCCGCTACACCTGGACCCCCCACTACACCTGGACCCCCACTACACCTGGACCCCCCACTACACCTGGACCCCCCACTACACCTGGACCCCCCACTACACCTGGACCCCCACTACACCTGGACCCCCCACTACACCTGGACCCCCCACTACACCTGGACCCCCCACTACACCTGGACCCCCCACTACACCTGGACCCCCCACTACACCTGGACCCCCCACTACACCTGGACCCCCCACTACACCTGGACCCCCACTACACCTGGACCCCCACTACACCTGGACCCCCACTACACCTGGACCCCCCACTACACCTGGACCCCCACTACACCTGGACCCCCACTACACCTGGACCCCCACTACACCTGGACCCCCACTACACCTGGACCCCCCACTACACCTGGACCCCCACTACACCTGGACCCCCACTACACCTGGACCCCCACTACACCTGGACCCCCACTACACCTGGACCCCCCCTACACCTGGACCCCCCACTACACCTGGACCCCCACTACACCTGGACCCCCCACTACACCTGGACCCCCCCTACACCTGGACCCCCCACTACACCTGGACCCCCCACTACACCTGGACCCCCACTACACCTGGACCCCCCACTACACCTGGACCCCCACTACACCTGGACCCCCCCACTACACCTGGACCCCCACTACACCTGGAACCCCACTACACCTGGACCCCCCACTACACCTGGACCCCCACTACACCTGGACCCCCACTACACCTGGACCCCCACTACACCTGGACCCCCACTACACCTGGACCCCCACTACACCTGGACCCCCACTACACCTGGACCCCCCACTACACCTGGACCCCCCCACTACACCTGGACCCCCCACTACACCTGGACCCCCCACTACACCTGGACCCCACTACACCTGGACCCCACTAAACTTGGACCCCACTAAACTTGGACCCACCACTACACCTGGACCCCCACTACACCTGGACCCCCCACTACACCTGGACCCCCACTACACCTGGACCCCCCACTACACCTGGACCCCCACTACACCTGGACCCCCCACTACACCTGGACCCCCCACTACACCTGGACCCCCCACTACACCTGGACCCCCCACTACACCTGGACCCCCACTACACCTGGACCCCCACTACACCTGGACCCCACTACACCTGGACCCCACTACACCTGGACCCCACTAAACTTGGACCCACCACTACACCTGGACCCCCACTACACCTGGACCCCCCACTACACCTGGACCCCCCACTACACCTGGACCCCCCACTACACCTGGACCCCCCACTACACCTGGACCCCCCACTACACCTGGACCCCCACTACACCTGGACCCCCCCACTACACCTGGACCCCCCCACTACACCTGAACCCCCACTACACCTGGACCCCCACTACACCTGGACCCCCACTACACCTGGACCCCCCACTACACCTGGACCCCCACTACACCTGGACCCCCCACTACACCTGGACCCCCACTACACCTGGACCCCCACTACACCTGGACCCCACTACACCTGGACCCCACTACACCTGGACCCCACTAAACTTGGACCCCACTAAACTTGGACCCACCACTACACCTGGACCCCCACTACACCTGGACCCCCACTACACCTGGACCCCCCACTACACCTGGACCCCCCACTACACCTGGACCCCCCACTACACCTGGACCCCCCCACTACACCTGGACCCCCCACTACACCTGGACCCCCCACTACACCTGGACCCCCCACTACACCTGGACCCCCCACTACACCTGGACCCCCCCACTACACCTGGACCCCCACTACACCTGGACCCCCACTACACCTGGACCCCCACTACACCTGGATGAACCCGTTCACTGCCGGGGTCAAGACACGACTGAAGGCCAGGGGGACCGGCGCCCCTCCCCCCCCCCCTGCAGGTACAGGAAGTTCTCCCCAAGGTTGAGGAAGTTGATGAGAAGTGACCAGGTGGTGGGGGGGGGAGGGGTGACCAGGTGGTGGTGGGGGGGGTGGCCAGGTGGTGGTGGGGGGGGGGGAGGGGTGACCAGGTGGTGGTGGGGGGGGGTGGCCAGGTGGTGGTGGGGGGGAGGGGTGACCAGGTGGTGGTGGGGGGAGGGGTGACCAGGTGGTGGTGGGGGGGGGGGTGGCCAGGTGGTGGTGGGGGGGAGGGGTGGCCAGGTGGTGGTGGGGGGGGTGGCCAGGAGGTGGTGGGGGGGAGGGGTGACCAGGTGGTGGTGGGGGGGGGGTGGCCAGGAGGTGGTGGTGGGGGGGGTGGCCAGGAGGTGGTGGGGGGGAGGGGTGACCAGGAGGTGGTGGGGGGGAGGGGTGACCAGGTGGTGGTGGGGGGGAGGGGTGACCAGGTGGTGGTGGGGGGGAGGGGTGACCAGGTGGTGGTGGGGGGGTGGCCAGGTGGTGGTGGGGGGGAGGGGTGACCAGGTGGGGGTGGCCAGGTGGTGGTGGGGGGGGGGAAGGGGTGACCAGGTGGTGGTGGGGGGGGGGAGGGGTGACCAGGTGGTGGTGGGGGGGTGGCCAGGTGGTGGTGGGGGGGTGAACTAACACATCTACTAATGATCACAGACGGGCCCCAGTGAGCAGCTCTCGCCCAGGATGACATAGAGGGCGGGAACCATGATAATAGAGCTCCCGCACCCTCCAATAGAGCAATGTAGAGCTCAGGTGTTGTCCTGTCAGAGAAGGCTCCGTGGATCAGATGTGCTGATTGGTCGACGGCACGAGGCTCTGTTGACGTAATTTGAAATTAAATCGACTCACAAAAGTGACGTACTGTCCCGTTTTCTGTTTGAGTCGTCCGGCTTACTCGGTAAGGTTAGGAGAGATAACTTTCAATTAACGTTTTTCATAACGTTTTGAAACACTATGAGAATTTCCTGCCCACCTAACCTACCAGAGGACCCTTAACTTACTGTTGTTGAAAAAAAATCCCAAATTTATTTACATTTTTTTTAATTTTCAAATTACGTCCACTTTCGGTCATACGGGCAAAGGGCCAAAAGCGACGTTTTTTTTAAGACAGATTGTGTGGTGACCGGCCTGCAGAATGTTCAGTGTGACGAGCAACAATGGTGGTGGGGGCACGTCACAGGCAGGCGTCTCTGGAAGGCGCCCTGAGGTAGACAGGTTCCTTCCTCAAGGGAAGGAATTAAACATCTGGTCAGTGTACGAGAGAAGAGTTAGGTGGGAGACATGATTCTCACATACAAAGTTCTGATGGGGAATTGAGAAATTGTTCATACAAAGATAGGGTTGACCATGGCTTATTCGTTATCATTTGCTCTCTAGATCCATTGGTGGAAGAGTTAGAAACCAATAGATTAGGTTATTACAGAAGTAGTGGCGAGGCTGACGCGTCTCGTATGCCTGTTCTTATAATTGCTTTAACTCCTTGCGATTGCTTTAGCTAGATCTTAAACTAAAATTACTTGGTAAAGAGATTCCAGTACAGCATTTCGGAGAGCATCTGCGGGGTCTAATATACTGGTCAAAGATCCCTACCTGCACATTGTTCTGCTGTTATTGAAGCACTCAAACACTTGTAATCATGAGTGAATTTGGTTGTCTTGATATCTGGTGGCAAGTAAAGTTATGTAAGTGTCAGTGTGTAAGGTTGTATGGCTGGGAACTACGGCACCTACGACATGCTGACCTGGCTAAGCTTAGCTGTGAATGGAGGAAATATTGAAGACGTATCTTAGGAGACCCTCCCGGGCCGCATGTGGTCATCTCCTGACCTCATGTCCACACTTACACTTGCAGAAATCATTCGCAAAAGTATCTTTTATTGATAAGTGAATCACTCCTCCACCAAACAATAAGCTCGCTCTTCAGCCATCCGGTAATCACTGATCACTCAAACGTTCCCAGAAATATCAACGTGACTCTTAGGGAATGTAACTTAAGAGACCATAAAAAGTGTTAGATCCCGCAGGGTGACGGAGGTAGATGGAGACGAGGCGGCCAGCCACTATGACCGTCAGTGTCTCCTCTGGTTGGTACTCCTCTCCTCCAGCAACACTCTCCTCACCAACACTCTCCTCACCACTCACCCCCGGACCACCACCAACCTCATGTGTTTTTATATACCTACTATATAGATGGCACACCTGTGACAGGTAAAAACGTTTTTTTTTTAAGAAACAGCGCTATGTGTTGCATGTAAGAGCAACACAAATGCTATACTAAATATGTTACGATTACATTTCAATGTTTCCGATTTCATTGATAAATTGAGTTTTCATACATTTCGATTTATTTTCATTTTGAATTAATTATTTTGTGCGATGTTGCATTGGAATTTGGCTGTGTTGTTTACCATACCGTTCATTTCGTGAGTATAGTTTATTTGTTTATTTTTTCATTGTTTTTATTTTGTTTTTTTAACTATTTTTCTTATATTTCAGCGATGGGAACATCAGATCATTTGATGTTCCCAATTTTCTGATGGGAACATGAGATCATTTGGGAATGCATTGGACGGGGGAGGGAAAAATGGTGGGGAGGACTCTGAGACAGGGGAAGGTTGCTGTGGCTCAGCAACGCGTGTATGAGCCACAGCAACGCGTGGCCGGGGACAGCTAGTGTGTATATATTTTTCTTTTACTAATATTTGACCTTTGATCTGCCTACCGTCTTAGAAAAGCTGAGGGATCCCAGCTACCGGCAGACTGAGTGGGATCCCAGCCACCGGCAGACTGAGTGGGATCCCAGCCACCGGCAGACTGAGTGGGATCCCAGCCACCGGCAGACTGAGTGGGATCCCAGCCACCGGCAGACTGAGTGGGATCCCAGCCACCGGCAGACTGAGTGGGATCCCAGCCACCGGCAGACTGAGTGGGATCCCAGCCACCGGCAGACTGAGTGGGATCCCAGCCACCGGCAGACTGAGTGGGATCCCAGCCACCGGCAGACTGAGTGGGATCCCAGCCACCGGCAGACTGAGTGGGATCCCAGCCACCGGCAGACTGAGTGGGATCCCAGCCACCGGCAGACTGAGTGGGATCCCAGCCACCGGCAGACTGAGTGGGATCCCAGCCACCGGCAGACTGAGTGGGATCCCAGCCACCGGCAGACTGAGTGGGATCCCAGCCACCGGCAGACTGAGTGGGATCCCAGCCACCGGCAGACTGAGTGGGATCCCAGCCACCGGCAGACTGAGTGGGATCCCAGCCACCGGCAGACTGAGTGGGATCCCAGCCACCGGCAGACTGAGTGGGATCCCAGCCACCGGCAGACTGAGTGGGATCCCAGCCACCGGCAGACTGAGTGGGATCCCAGCCACCGGCAGACTGAGTGGGATCCCAGCCACCGGCAGACTGAGTGGGATCCCAGCCACCGGCAGACTGAGTGGGATCCCAGCCACCGGCAGACTGAGTGGGATCCCAGCCACCGGCAGACTGAGTGGGATCCCAGCCACCGGCAGACTGAGTGGGATCCCAGCCACCGGCAGACTGAGTGGGATCCCAGCCACCGGCAGACTGAGTGGGATCCCAGCCACCGGCAGACTGAGTGGGATCCCAGCCACCGGCAGACTGAGTGGGATCCCAGCCACCGGCAGACTGAGTGGGATCCCAGCCACCGGCAGACTGAGTGGGATCCCAGCCACCGGCAGACTGAGTGGGATCCCAGCCACCGGCAGACTGAGTGGGATCCCAGCCACCGGCAGACTGAGTGGGATCCCAGCCACCGGCAGACTGAGTGGGATCCCAGCCACCGGCAGACTGAGTGGGATCCCAGCCACCGGCAGACTGAGTGGGATCCCAGCCACCGGCAGACTGAGTGGGATCCCAGCCACCGGCAGACTGAGTGGGATCCCAGCCACCGGCAGACTGAGTGGGATCCCAGCCACCGGCAGACTGAGTGGGATCCCAGCCACCGGCAGACTGAGTGGGATCCCAGCCACCGGCAGACTGAGTGGGATCCCAGCCACCGGCAGACTGAGTGGGATCCCAGCCACCGGCAGACTGAGTGGGATCCCAGCCACCGGCAGACTGAGTGGGATCCCAGCCACCGGCAGACTGAGTGGGATCCCAGCCACCGGCAGACTGAGTGGGATCCCAGCCACCGGCAGACTGAGTGGGATCCCAGCCACCGGCAGACTAAGTGGTGCATGAACTACCACACAACCCGCTTACAACTGGGATGCAAGAATCTACAGGAATTAGACAATAATATAATCCCCTTCATTGGAAGACTGGCCATGATATCGCTTCTCCATATCACGGCTATCTTCTCTATACTAGACACCGAGTATGGCCATGATAGCGGACACAAAGTAGGACTAAACAATGCAACAGGAGAAAGTTGAGGCATGAGGGAAGTAGGGATGGCGGTGGCCGGAAACAGGTGAGCATGAGGCAGGCGGTGGCGCGGGCACCCACAACACCTGCCAGGCGGTGGCGCGGGCACCCACAACACCTGCCAGGCGGTGGCGCGGGCACCCACAACACCTGCCAGGATGTCTCGCTCATGTTTGGCGCGGATGTTGTGGTGGGGAACCCGCCTTCCGTCATCACTATGGCTCCTCGTACCCCTCTTGTGCACTCTCATGTCTGGGTATACTGCTACTCTCACACACCAAGGCTCTCACGCTCGCTCGCTCGCTCTCTCACACTCTTCCTAGCTCGCTAACTCTCTTCCTCGCTCGCTCACTCTCTCGCTCGCTCATTCTCTCGCTCGCTCATTCTCTCGCTCGCTCATTCTCTCGCTCACTTAAACACACACACGACACCTCTTGGAGTGTCAGAAAGCCTTTGACACAGTACCCCGTAAAAGGCTGTTACAAAACTTGGAGCAACAGGCAGGAGTAAAAGGTAATGTGCTCCAGTGGATAAGGGAGTATCTAAGCAACAGGAAACAGCTAGTAACTGTGAGGGAGGGGGGGGGGAGACATTAGAGTGGCGTGATGTCTCCAGCGGAGTCCCACAGGGCTCTGTACTTGGACCCATCCTGTTTCTAATATATGTAAACCATTTTCAGAGGATAAAGACTCATTCCTCTCAATGTTTGCTGGTGATGCTAAAATTATGAGAAGAATCAAGACAGATGAAGATAGACAGAGACTACAAGATGACCTGGACAAACTGGAGGAATGGTCTAGAAGAGGGCTACTAAAGTTAACTTAGGAAAGTAAAGTAATTAAATTAGACGAAGGGAGCAGAGGCTGAACACAATGTACTATCTGGGAGATGAAATCTGCAAGAGTTAAATATAGAGAATGATCTGGGGGTTGATATCACAACGAACCTGTCCACAGAAGCCCGCATCAAAAGGATATCTGAATTCTGATTTCTGCAGAATCGCATCAAAAGGATACCTGAATTCTGCTTTTAACACTGGGAAGGGACAACTCCTCTCGTAGATTAGACGTTTTGGCAGTTCTTGGAACTCCAAGAATGATTGTCATGGCTTCATTTTGAATGCTTTCAAGCGATATGAAAAGGCTTGAAAGCATTCAAAATGAAGCCATGACAATCATTCTTGGAGTTCCAAGAACTGCCAAAACGTCTAATCTACGAGAGGAGTTGTCCCTTCCCAGTGTTAAAAGCAGAATTCAGGAGCTGAATGCTAAGCTTGCAATTAAGATAGCCAGAGATCCCCATTACAATGATATTGCCAAGAAAAAACTGAGCTCTGTGCTACTTTCAGGGGGAAACAGGAGAAGCAAAAAATGGCATCACAGAGCAGTCTGCTACCTTGAAGAGCTTCACCTGCTTGAGCAAGCCCGTGAGCTCCTGCCTGCAGAGAGGTTACCTCCCTGGGAGGATGACTCATGCAAGATCATCATCAATGAAATGGCAATGAAAAAATCCAACATGATACCACAAGAAATGAGGCACAAGTATCTCGATGAAATTTATAAAGAAGCCAGAGATGAACTAGATCAAATCTACACTGACGGGTCATCTAATCCTATCAATGGCAGGGCTGGTGCAGCATACACGGTAATCAAGGATAATACCTTCCAACGCAGAAATGAAGAAAAAGCACGTATTGAGAACTATGCCTCTTCAACGCAAGCAGAGCTAACTGCCATTGTTATGGCGTTAAGGTTTCTTGAACGGAACACTAATGGTGCAGTGATTTGCACCGATTCAAAAGCAGCACTGCAAAGCCTAAGTAAAAATCAGGCAGAAAATCTTGCAATAGTCGCTGAAATTAAGAGAGCTGTGAGAGTACTTACCAATCAGGGAAGAGTTATCAAGTTTCTGTGGATCCTCTCCCATGTTGGAATATGTGGGAATGAACGAGCAGATGTGCTGGCTGCTGAAGGCGCTGAAGGAGACCATATTGAATACTTCATACCCAAGACTCAACTATAAATTAGAGGTATTGTCAGGCAACATCACCGTGACAAGGTAACTGAGGAAAGGAGGATAGAAGCACAAACCAGTATCTGTACGATGGTACAACATGGTTGCAGCTGGCAATCCCAATCATTATGGCCGAAGAGGAGGACGACGAGGGAGAGAATCAGTAATAGCGAGAATCCGTCTGGGATACAAATATCCATGGAGATTTGGAATGGAAACAACAGTTAATCAGCGAAGTTGCAGAATCTGTGGTGAGAGTGATGGACACCGCCTTGACCACTATCTACGTGAATGTGAACACCTGAGAGACATTAGGAATATGTGTAGAATAATAAACCCCACATTGTTTGAGTTAGGAAAACACTATTTGACAAATATTGATACTGTTCTTAAAAGATTTCCCCATTTTGCACCCGCAAGATAACGTAAGCTTTCAAGGGTTGATAAATGTTAATCTTCTTGTTTGAGGAGCTGTTCACTTCAGACAGTTAAGCAAGTCCCAGCTGTGTCTGGGTACAAGTGACAGGATGAACAACCCAGCGGGTTTTCTTCCTATTGGGGAGTGTTGTACATTCTGCTATGGCGGTATGTCCACTCACAGAATGAGTGGCGCTGCCCAATAAACTCGCCCCTCGGGGCAAAATTTAAAAAAAAATTAAAAAGGATATCATCAGCGGCATATGCTAGATTGACCCAACATAAGAACTGCCTTTAGAAACTTGTGTAAGGAACCGTTCAGGCCCTTGTATACCACTTATGTCAGACCAATCGTGGAATATGCAGCTCCGGCCTGGAGTCCATACCTTGTTAAACACTAGACAAAGTTAGAGAAGATTCAGCGGTATGCCGGTCGAAGGGAGCCGGTCGGCCGAGCGGACAGCACGCTGGACTTGTGATCCTGTGGTCCTGGGTTCGATCCCAGGCGCCGGCGAGAAACAATGGGCAGAGTTTCTTTCACCCTATGTCCCTGTTACCTAGCAGTAAAATAGGTACCTGGGTGTTAGTCAGCTGTCACGGGCTGCTTCCTGTGGGTGGAGGCCTGGTCGAGGACCGGGCCGCGGGGACACTAAAGCCCCGAAATCATCTCAAGATAACCTCAAGATAAGATGCCACCAGGCTCGTCCCGGAACTGAGAGGTATGAGCTACGAGGGAAGGCTACGGGAGCTAAACCTCACGTCCCTGGAAGACAGAAAAGTAAGGGCAGATATGTTAACAACCTACAAAATTCTCAGGGGAATTGACAGGGTGGACAAAGACAAACTATTTAGCACGGGTAGAACAAGAACAAGGGGACACAGGTGGAAACTTAGTACCCAGATGAGCCACAGAGACGTTAGAAAGAATTTTGTTCATTGTCAGAGTAGTTAACAAATGGAATGCATTAGGCAGTGATGTGATGGAGGCTGACTCCATACACAGTTTCAAATGTATATATGATAGAGCCCAGTAGGCTCAGAAATCTGTACACCAGTTGATTGACGGTTGCGAGGCGGGACCAAAGAGCCAGAGTTCGACCCCCGCAAGCACAACTAGGTTAGTACACACTGTGGATGAGTGAGAAGAGACAGGTGACACAGCAGAGACAGGTGACACAGCAGAGACAGGTGACACAGCAGAGACTCGAGACACCCGTCTCGCTCACGTCACTGTTTATAGACGGTTTAAGAGTTAGGAGGCTATTAGAGTTCAATTCCAGGAAATGCAATGGTATGAGAACTGTGGGCAGTGAGAGTAAAGGAGAGGATAAGAGAGAGAGAGGCAACATGAACGTCCCGGCCAGAAGGCCACAGTAAGATCATCAACGTATGGAACATTACCAAACATGAGAACACACAGGAAATACCCACGTGCAACAGACAACATTGAGAAGGTCCAGAGTTGCAGCGTTGCAGGGACCGGAAACACGAAAGCTGAGCTACGAAGACGGACTAAAAAAAAAATGGCCTGACTGTTGCAAACAATGCGGGAGAGCAAAAGACATGATCACGACATACAAAATACCGAGAGAAATGACCGAATTGCACAAAAACACTTTTTTTCCCCCCCAATTAGGACTAATAGAAGGACAGGAAACAGGTGGAAACATAAAAAACAAATGAGTCACAGCGGTGTAATAGAGCAGTTGAGTGAGGGAGGCGTGGACACATCAGAGGTAGACTAACACAGTTTACACTTCAGTGTAATGTGAACACAGTTAACATAGTCTCCCAGGGTCAGGGGAGTTGGTATACGTGCCTCTTAAATACTCAAGAGTTCAAAAGTTTACATTTATTAAACAGTTTACGAGGACTTTCCAGTCCAATGTTGTCAAAAATCCTCTTGATGCTTCGGAGCTCGTAAACTTGTTCACTGTATGTGAACAAAGCCGCCAGAGATTGAGGAAAGAGGCGCAGACCTAACGACTTGCATAACTGTCTGATGACTCCCTACCAACCACCTGAACTGGACGGTAGAGCGACGGTCTCGCTTTATGCAGGTCGGCGTTCAATCCCCGACCGTCCACAAGTGGTTGGGCACCATTCCTTCCCCCCGTCCCATCCCACATCCTTATGGTGTAAGGTAAGGCTACCTCAGGAACCCCTCCCCTACTGTGGTGGTGTAAGGCAAGGCTGCCTCAGGAACCCCTCCCTCGCTCACAGTAATAGCTACCCTGTCAAGGATGGCCGGAAGCCTAGCGGTCTTGGAGACCCGAGAAGAGGACGCTAGCTAGCGGTGGACACAGCTAACGGTGGACGCCAGCTAGCGGTGGACACAGCTAACGGTGGACGCCAGCTAGCGGTGGACACAGCTAACGGTGGACGCCAGCTAGCGGTGGACACAGCTAACGGTGGACACAGCTAGCGGTGGACGCCAGCTAGCGGTGGACACAGCTAACGGTGGACGCCAGCTAGCGGTGGACGCCAGCTAGCGGTGGACGCCAGCTAGCGGTGGACACAGCTAACGGTGGACACAGCTAGCGGTGGACGCCAGCTAGCGGTGGACACAGCTAACGGTGGACGCCAGCTAGCGGTGGACACAGCTAGCGGTGGACACAGCTAGCGGTGGACACAGCTAGCGGTGGACACAGCTAGCGGTGGACGCCAGCTAGCGGTGGACACAGCTAACGGTGGACGCCAGCTAACGGTGGACGCCAGCTAGCGGTGGACACAGCTAGCGGTGGACACAGCTAGCGGTGGACACAGCTAGCAGTGGACACAGCTAGCGGTGGACACAGCTAGCAGTGGACACAGCTAGCGGTGGACACAGCTAACGGTGGACGCCAGCTAGCGGTGGACGCCAGCTAGCGGTGGACACAGCTAACGGTGGACACAGCTAACGGTGGACGCCAGCTAGCGGTGGACACAGCTAACGGTGGACGCCAGCTAGCGGTGGACACAGCTAGCGGTGGACACAGCTAGCGGTGGACACAGCTAGCGGTGGACACAGCTAGCGGTGGACACAGCTAACGGTGGACGCAGCTGTCAACCAGAAGCTGGATTGAGGTGGTCCTGGATTAGGCATGAAAGACGAGTCCTGGAACACTGATCACCCTGGATGGGACGACCTGGTACTGCTGCTGCTGCTGGAACACTTGACGTGAACAACAGTACTGGTGATGCCGTTGGGGGGGGGGGGGCGCAGGAGGGTGTTGGGGGGGGTGGCTGGAGGGTGTTGGGGGGGGGCTGGAGGGTGTTGGGGGGGGGCTGGAGGGTGTTGGGGGGGGGCTGGAGGGTGTTGGGGGGGCAGGAGGGTGTTGGGGGGGGTGGCTGGAGGGTGTTGGGGGGGGGCTGGAGGGTGTTGGGGGGGGGGGCAGGAGGGTGTTGGGGGGGGGTGGCTGGAGGGTGTTGGGGGGGGCTGGAGGGTGTTGGGGGGGGCTGGAGGGTGTTGGGGGGGGGCTGGAGGGTGTTGGGGGGGGGCTGGAGGGTGTTGGGGGGGGCTGGAGGGTGTTGGGGGGGCGCAGGAGGGTGTTGGGGGGGGGGGCTGGAGGGTGTTGGGGGGGCGCAGGAGGGTGTTGGGGGGGGCTGGAGGGTGTTGGGGGGGCAGGAGGGTGTTGGGGGGTGGCTGGGGGGTGTTGGGGGGGGGGGCTGGAGGGTGTTGGGGGGGGGCTGGAGGGTGTTGGGGGGGGGCTGGAGGGTGTTGGGGGGGCGCAGGAGGGCGTTGGGGGGGGCTGGAGGGCGTTGGGGGGGGCAGGAGGGTGTTGGGGGGGGGGCAGGAGGGTGTTGGGGGGGCAGGAGGGTGTTGGGGGGGCAGGAGGGTGTTGGGGGGGGGCTGGAGGGTGTTGGGGGGGGCTGGAGGGTGTTGGGGGGGTGGCTGGAGGGTGTTGGGGGGGTGGCTGGAGGGTGTTGGGGGGGGTGGAGGGTGTTGGGGGGGGGGCTGGAGGGTGTTGGGGGGGCAGGAGGGTGTTGGGGGGGGGCTGGAGGGTGTTGGGGGGGCAGGAGGGTGTTGGGGGGGGGCTGGAGGGTGTTGGGGGGGCAGGAGGGTGTTGGGGGGGGACATCCTACACATGGGGGTATATGGCAAGGGCAAAATAGGTGTTCTTTCTCCCCTCGCCTCACTGTACTCTTGGTAGATTCCCCTACCTTTACCTATTTCCTTACCTTCCTAATCCCTCTACCTTCCCCATCTTTCCCCCTCCCCACCTTCAACAGCCAGTGTACAGACAGATGATGTCGTGGAAGCCACCTCCTCCGTCCACAAGAGGTCCAAGAGAGCAAGCGGTCACTACCGCTGCACCACCAAGACCACCCCACAGTGTTCAGGGGAGACTATTCTTGAACTCATAACTATATTTATGACAGGCGGCAAAAAATAGTCTTAGGATGTTAATCTAGTTTGAATACTGATGTGTGACGTGCACGTCACACATCATAGATGCATCACGTGCACGTCAATTATGGATGCAGGAGGCAGTGTCTTCCGCAGCACGGCTGTTGGGTACGAGAGTCTGGAGCAGGAGCATATATGCTCCGGGCTACCTGTCCCTGGCTAGAATGTTAAGGTACACGTGCCTGACACCACATTATCACGTGCCTGACACACCACGTGCCTGATGGTGCCCAAGCACTTGTGGACGGTCGGGGATTGAACGCCGATCTGCATGAAGTGAGACCGTCGCTCTATCGTCCCAAACCGTCCTCGACTCAAGTCCATTACATCCAGCGGTCGACCCCACAGACGTATTCATAAATTTTTACATGCTGTTCATTCAAAATGGGAGTTTTCCCCAATATTAGCATATTGTGCATATATAGGCATAGGTTAGGTGTTTAGGTTCTGTTGGCGATTATTTGTATTTGTAGTACGTGGGTGAAGCATTTACAGCGTTGTGGTTCGAACACAAGTCGTCAGTGAAGCTCTTGTCCCGGAACTGTTCGAACGAAATCAGTTGTGAGTCGTGTGTAAACCGTTTTTCATTCATAAACAGGGGGTTTGGCGGGTGGATGGAATCACTTTTGGATCTTTGTTTGGAGGACGGGCTGTTTACAGCGTTGTGGTTCAAACAAAACTCGTCAGTGAAGCACTTGTTCCGGAACTGTTCGAACGAAATCAGTTGTGAGTCGTGTGTAAACGATTTGTCTTTCATAAACAGGGGGTTTTGCGGGTGCATGGAATCACTTTTGGGTCTTTGAAGGACGGGCTGATCGTCCAGCCCAAGTGGTTGGCTATGAGTGAGCTTTTGTGTCCTTTTGTACAGATATTAGGTGGGTGGTGTTGACATTTACACTTCCTTCAAGTGGTTCCGCTTGGGCCCTTGTGCCTGACATTTAATTGTTCTACATAATTAGGGGCCACAGTTAATTAGTATTTGTATTCCTTGTAGCTGAAGGTGTTGGAGGAGGACTACGGTGATTCAGTTCACATTGTCTAACGCACTTGCAGCCTCACACGATTTGAGTCGCTGGTTTGGAGTCGATGTTAATTATATTATTGAGACTATTAGTTGGAGCGGTGAGATGGATTCGAACCTGTGCTCTTGGTACTCCCAAGAGCACAGGTTAGGTTAGGATAGGTAGGTTAGGGTAGGTTAGGTAGGTTATGTTAGGCAGGTTAGGTTAGGCAGGTTAGGTTAGGTAGGTTATGGTAGGTAGGTAGGTTATGTTAGGTAGGGTAGGTTAGGTTAGGTAGGTTAGGTTAAGTTTGATCAAATTTCTATATTAGTTTTGACAACATAAAATTGCAAGCATATATATAATACAATGAAAACTATCATTTCATAAGAATTTTTTGTTCTAATTTAATATTTCACGGAAAATCCGGCTTTTTAGGCAATTTTGGCTATAAGTTCAACAATATATGTCATACCTAACAGCCAGAGTTGCCTAAGAAGCCAAAGTTTCGTGAAATATTAAAGTTTCCCCCCAAAAAAAAAATTCTTATGAGAAAAATTTTAATATTTTTCTCTAGTTAAAAATAAAAAAATATAAAGTCCCCCCCTCAAAATTGCCGTCCCCCCTCCTAAATGGCCGTCGCCCCTCACAATGGCCATCAACCTCCCCCCCCCTCCCCCCACACAGGAATGATAGCAAGCAGCAAAATCTGAAGCCACTGCATTAAACAAAACACAGCCGGGGCCTAAGAGCTGAGGCTCAACCCCCACAATACCTTTTTACTGACGAGGCAGGACTGGACCCTCTCCTAGTCGGAGTTACTACACCTCAACCAACATTCTACCCAATAAACTTTTGATGTAAGGACCAAGTCTCACTTGAAGGAATGACGTATGTTGAGAACATTGAACACTCAGTTGCACGTTATTGATTTGCAACTTGATGGATGTTTCCTGCATGGCACCGACGGCGCCCTTGACTCATAGTTCATCTTAATTACAGACACAGACAGACAGAAGGTTCTTGTCCAGGTGGTGAGTCTCCAGGTGTAGACGGTCGCTCCACGACCCGTCTCCCCCCGTCTAACACGATCCGTCTCCCCCGTCTAACACGACCCGTCTGCACCCGTCTAACACGACCCGTCTCCCCGTCTAACACGACCCGTCTCCCCCCGTCTAACACGACCCGTCTCCCCCCGTCTAACACGACCCGTCTCCCCCGTCTAACACGACCCGTCTCCCCCCGTCTAACACGACCCGTCTCCCCCCGTCTAACACGACCCGTCTCCCCCGTCTAACACGACCCGTCTCCCCCCGTCTAACACGACCCGTCTCCCCCCGTCTAACACGACCCGTCTCCCCCGTCTAACACGACCCGTCTCCCCCGTCTAACACGACCCGTCTCCCCCGTCTAACACGACCCGTCTCCCCCGTCTAACACGACCCGTCTCCCCCGTCTAACACGACCCGTCTCCCCCGTCTAACACGACCCGTCTCCCCCGTCTAACACGACCCGTCTCCCCCGTCTAACACGACCCGTCTCCCCCGTATAACACGACCCGTCTCCCCCGTCTAACACGACCCGTCTCCCCCCGTCTAACACGACCCGTCTCCCCCCGTCTAACACGACCCGTCTCCCCCGTCTAACACGACCCGTCTCCCCCCATCTAACACGACCCGTCTCCACCCGTCTAACACGACCCGTCTCCCCCCGTCTAACACGACCCGTCTCCCCCGTCTAACACGACCCGTCTCCCCCCGTCTAACACGACCCGTCTCCCCCCGTCTAACACGACCCGTCTCCCCCCGTCTAACACGACCCGTCTATCCCCCGTCTAACACGACCCGTCTCCCCCCGTCTAACACGACCCGTCTCCCCCCGTCTAACACGACCCGTCTCCCCCCGTCTAACACGACCCGTCTGCACCCGTCTAACACGACCCGTCTCCCCCGTCTAACACGACCCGTCTGCACCCGTCTAACACGACCCGTCTCCCCCCGTCTAACTCGACCCGTCTGCACCCGTCTAACACGACCCGTCTCCCCCCGTCTAACACGACCCGTCTAACACGACCCGTCTCCTCCCGTCTAACACGACCCGTCTGCACCCGTCTAACACGACCCGTCTGCACCCGTCTAACACGACCCGTCTGCACCCGTCTAACACGACCCGTCTGCACCCGTCTAACACGACCCGTCTCCACCCGTCTAACACGACCCGTCTCCCCCCGTCTCTCCACGAGCCTCAGGTAGACTATACGTCAAGTACAGTATTTGGACGTGCTCTCAGGAAGACGGGTTTCCAAGAACAGGTTATAATTAGTCAGCGGATTAGTTAAGCAAGTCAGCGGATTTGCATAGAATATTGTCTCGGGTGACTGAAATACTCTTCACTTGATGTTCACTGAGAAGTGTTAGATGAGTGTGTGTGAGGGTGGTGAGTGTGTGTGAGGGTGGTGAGTGTGTGTGAGGGTGGTGAGTGTGTGTGAGGGTGGTGAGTGTGTGACGGTGGTGAGTGTGTGAGGGTGGTGAGTGTGTGTGAGGGTGGTGAGAGTGTGTGACGGTGGTGAGTGTGTGTGAGGGTGGTGAGTGTGTGTGAGGGTGGTGAGTGTGTGTGAGGGTGGTGAGTGTGTGTGAGGGTGGTGAGTGTGTGAGGGTGGTGAGTGTGTGTGAGGGTGGTGAGTGTGTGTGAGGGTGGTGAGTGTGTGTGAGGGTGGTGAGTGTGTGTGAGGGTGGTGAGTGTGTGTGAGGGTGGTGAGTGTGATGGTCCAACAAATGGTTGTTAGTTTAACCCGAGCAACTGTAATATATTGAGGATAGGTGTAGGGAGCAGGAGGCCAGATACAAGGTATCATTTTGGAGATGAAGTACTTCAAGAATCAGACAGAATCAGAATCAATCCCACTTGGGGAGTGATATCATGCCAAATCTTTCCCCTGAAGCCCACATCAAGAGGATAACATCAGCGGCATATGCCAGGTTGGCCAACATAAAAACAGCCTTTATACATTTGTGTAAGGAATCATTCAGAACCTTGTATATCACGTATGTCATACCAATCCTGCAGTATGCAGCTCCAGCATGTTGCTCATATCCCGTCAAGCATAAAACTGAATTGGAGAAGGTTCAGAGGTTTGTCACCAGACTAGTGCCCGAACTGAGGGGCATAAGCTATGAGGGACTATGGGAATTAAACTTCACTTCGCTGGAAGACAGGAGAATTAGGGGGGACATGATCACTACATACAAGATTCTAAAAGGAATTGATAGGGTAGACAAAGTTTATTTAACACCAGTGGGACGTGCACTAGGGGACACAGGTGGAAATTGGGTGACCAAATGAGCCAAAAAGACATTAGAAAAAATTGTTTTAATGTCAGAGTGGGTGACAAATGGAATGCATTAGGAAGTGATGTGGTGGAGGCTGACTCCATACGCAGTTTCAAGTATAGATATGATAGAGCCCAGTAGGCTCAGGAATCTGTACATCAGTTGATTGATAGTTGAGAGGCGACCAATGAGCCAGAGCTCAACCCCTACAAGCACATCTAGGTGAGTGCTAGCATACATTCCCAACATTCGCGGGAGAACAGACCCAAGTCGCGCCAGTTTTCAACTACAAATCCCCACAAGAACAGTCGCGACGGAGCGCGAGCAACATTCATGTTCGGCAGCGTGTGTGTGTGTGTGTGTGTGTGTGTGTGTGTGTGTGTGTGTGTGTGTGTGTGTGTGTGTGTGTGTGTGTGTGTGTGTGTGTGTGTGTGTGTGTGTAGGCGTGTAGGCGTGTAGGCGTGAGACCGAAGACTAGCGCCGCGCGAGCGTGCGAAGTGTCGCACAGGTCGGCGCGGCCTTGACTCCGGTCCTTGCCCTCCGGAATACCGCTCCACAAACCCCCAGATTTAACAGTTGGGGCCACGGCCGAGGTGAGCTGCTCCCTCAGGAGGCCCACGTTGTTTCGTGGGCCACCGTGGGACAGGAGGGGCCACCGCGGGCTCTGACGAAGGGACGGTAGTCCCAGGCGAAGGAACGATGGCGTCTGAGATGAAGTGGTTATTTTAGAAAGATTTTTAGTGTGGAGGGAATGATCACTCCCAACAGGGTGCACCTCCGGGGTGTACACGAATGATTTACACGCAGATCCCGCGTGCGGACACGACGGTCAGGGAGCCAGGACAGATGACGCCAGACAGACAGGAAGACCACAAAGTGGACCAGGTGACGGATACAGGTGCAGAGCGGAGGATATAATTGTGTGGTGTGAACCTTCACCGGGATGTGGGCCCCTGGGCGAGCCCCAGATGATGGTGAGAGAACACCGGGAGGCCTCCAGGAACCCTCAGAGGTTATGCCGTGTGTCAGTGGGCTCCGTGTTCCGGCCAGTTATGCCCCTTATGTGTAGCGGGAGTGTCTTGGACCCTTGATGTTGACAGTTCTCTCTCAGCGTGCCTATGCACCTCTGCTATTCAAAGGGGCTACTGTGCACTTCTTGCCGCGTCTCCTGGTCTCATGAAGAGTTATTCCCACATGCAGAATTGGAACCAGTCCCTCTGTTTTCCAATTGTGAATTGTTATTTATCTGTCTCGCCTGCACTCTGGAGAATACAGTTAGCTGTGGGGAGATAGTGGTTGTGTCGACGAGTGGTCCTGTCGCTGCCACCACCACGAGTGGTCCTGCCGCTGCCACCACCACGAGTGGTCCTGCCGCTGCCACCACCACCACCACCACGAGTGGTCCTGCCGCTGCCACCACCACGAGTGGTCCTGCCGCTGCCACCACCACGAGTGGTCCTGCCGCTGCCACCACCACGAGTGGTCCTGCCGCTGCCACCACCACGAGTGGTCCTGTCGCTGCCACCACCACCACGAGTGGTCCTGTCGCTGCCACCACCACCACGAGTGGTCCTGCCGCTGCCACCACCACGAGTGGTCCTGTCGCTGCCACCAGCACGAGTGGTCCTGTCGCTGCCACCACCACGAGTGGTCCTGCCGCTGCCACCACCACGAGTGGTCCTGCCGCTGCCACCACCACGAGTGGTCCTGCCGCTGCCACCACCACGAGTGGTCCTGCCGCTGCCACCACCACGAGTGGTCCTGCCGCTGCCACCACCACGAGTGGTCCTGTCGCTGCCACCACCACGAGTGGTCCTGTCGCTGCCACCACCACGAGTGGTCCTGCCGCTGCCACCACCACGAGTGGTCCTGTCGCTGCCACCAGCACGAGAGGTCCTGTCGCTGCCACCACCACGAGTGGTCCTGCCGCTGCCACCACCACGAGAGGTCCTGTCGCTGCCACCACCACGAGAGGTCCTGTCGCTGCCACCACCACGAGTGGTCCTGTCGCTGCCACCAGCACGAGAGGTCCTGTCGCTGCCACCACCACGAGTGGTCCTGTCGCTGCCACCAGCACGAGTGGTCCTGTCGCTGCCACCAGCACGAGTGGTCCTGTCGCTGCCACCAGCACGAGAGGTCCTGTCGCTGCCACCACCACGAGTGGTCCTGTCGCTGCCACCACCACGAGTGGTCCTGTCGCTGCCACCACCACGAGCGGTCCTGTCGCTGCCACCACCACCACGAGTGGTCCTGTCGCTGCCACCACCACCACGAGTGGTCCTGCCGCTGCCACCACCACGAGAGGTCCTGTCGCTGCCACCACCACCACGAGTGGTCCTGTCGCTGCCACCACCACCACGAGTGGTCCTGTCGCTGCCACCACCACCACGAGTGGTCCTGTCGCTGCCACCACCACCACGAGTGGTCCTGTCGCTGCCACCACCACCACGAGTGGTCCTGTCGCTGCCACCACCACCACGAGTGGTCCTGTCGCTGCCACCACCACCACGAGAGGTCCTGTCGCTGCCACCACCACCACGAGCGGTCCTGTCGCTGCCACCACCACCACGAGTGGTCCTGCCGCTGCCACCAGCACGAGAGGTCCTGTCGCTGCCACCACCACGAGAGGT